AACAGATTTGTTTACAAGCATAACGTGAGCTAAGAGTAGTGTAATAAGGGGGTTTGAAGGTTAAAGGTCACAATAGCGCCCAAACATGAAGTTATCAAAACATCATTATTCATACTGCATATCAAATCTCACAAGTTCATATAAAGCAAAGGCTTTGTACTTTACAACATTTTCAATATGGCTGCCCCAGTGGCCATGTCTAAATCATGTTACAATCACTACTGGCTTCATGTATACAAAGTTTCAGCATCATATGCCTTGTGGTATCAGACAGACCATGGACATAACTCTATGAAGTAAACTCAGGTGAGCTGAAAGCAATTTATGAAATTACTAGCACTGTTTTACAAATTGTTTTAACAGTTCTCAATGTGTCAATGAAATGAGACCAGATGAGTTGACTTTGACATCAATGAGAATAATAAGATGTCGGAAATCTGTAGTTTTCTTTACAATCCAAAATTTATGTGGACTTAAATACGACACTGAGAAGTGAAATAAACCATGCAGCATTTACAGCAAAAAGAAAGAAGCCTCGGAGACTACAAAAAAATCAACATAATGCTGACATTGTCATGGAATTTGAAAATGGCAAGAAATAATAATAACATCAGACCTCAAATAAACACATGTACAAAAACTGCACACTTAAATATATATAGTTATGTCGACTAATTTCCAACTTTCTTTTAAATGCAAGCCTTTTTCTTCTGGTTACCATGGCGACTGACATTTAAAGCGAAGGCCAGTCCCAAACATTTTTCAAAGTAATTGCCAGACAACCAATGCTGATGCATTTTTCATTTAACGAATGTCTATCTTGGAGGAATACATTCTACAAATTATAAAACATGATGTGAACTTGATAACATTTGCCTTTATACTCCCACAAAAAGCTTCCTTAAGATCCAATGGCTGCCAGTCACGTGACCAAGGTCTTATCACAATAGAAGTGTCAAGTTGTGTGACCACTAGATGAATCATGTTTTGCGATGCAATATGACCTCAATGCTTTGGTAAAGTTAGGATAAATAACCATAAGTTAACAAAATAGCAAACTCATCTGTTGCATTAGGACTATATAATGAATACAACATCATTACAGCAAACTGAAAATATAAAGTGTTTTTGTTCTAAAATATATACTTGTGAACTCTAAATGGCAAAAGGCAATGCTTCTCCACCAGCATACGTGGACAATTTCATAAAAAATTATTTCTTTCTTAGCTCATCCTTTCATTGGGAGCAAGCCTTCTGGCCTGTGGATATTAGCATTGATTTTGTTTGTTTGTTTGTTGTTTAACGCCGCACTCTGCAATATTCCAGCTATATGATTGCGGTGATATTAGCATTGAAGTTGTTATATTTCATTTTGGAGCCACAAAATACAATTACAAAAAATCATTTCCCAACAGGTGGACATATATCAGAATATTATGAAGAAATAGTGCTGAAGTACTGCCATGTCGATGGGTATATATATCAGTATATCACTCACATCACAAGCTGCAAAGAGGAGAACTAGCTGACCAACACTGAACTACAACTCACGGAGTACCACATCATACCAACCATGTCACAAATGACAGGCTCCATTCTGGAATACTACCTACGTAGTAGGGGTGACTATTGGTCTGGAAATCACTTTTGTGATAACTATTGATATTACAAGCAACTATTGCGATTTTTCAGTGTATCATTTTAGATAGATTTTAGACTTGAATTAAACCTTGGAACTGAAGTTTCCTTTGAACGTTGTAACCATTACAACAAATAAAAAGTAAAGTTTGAGATATGACTGATTTGTTTTTTCTTTAACCTAATAATTTAAGAAAAAGAAACTTCCACATTACCATGTGTAAATTACTACCACTCATGATCAAAAGAAAAACAAATTTGAACAGCATTGCATGTATTTTATAGATATGGTAAATACAATCGAAACTATCGACGTTCCTAACTGAAATCAATACTATTGATCGGAAACTGATTTAACAATCGATTTATTGACTTAAAGTGCTTACCAATAGCAATATATCGATATTTCGATTTATCGTTAAACCCCAGCTACATAGAAAATCTTCCAGTCAAGCCCTACGGGAGCACTTACATGCCGAGGACAACATACATGGCTACCTTCTATTCATCTTATAAAAAATGCAGCAAGGAGTTGGATTCTACTTCCTTGTAGAACAAAGAAATAAATGACTGAAATAAAGATTTCATACATAATAATCTAATGCTGTCAGTATATTTTCATATTATGAGACAATTTATTTACATACAAATGTATGAGACTAGGCATGTCAGCTTTCTCATTAGAGAAAGTAAATGCATGAGCAAGATTTTCATTGTTTGATTGTTTTCATAAAGAAACTTTGCTATCCAAGCCATATTGACCTCTAGTATACCGTTGTAGTATAGTCTTTCCGTTGGGGGAAAAAGACATCAAAACTCTTTATGGCGTGTATAATGCGTACCCCCTTCTACACAGCTGTGTTTCGGGGTAAAAAAAAGTGTGCACTATACGCAAGAAAAAACGGTACTAACATACCACATTGGTGCTGTACTGATACAGCAGTGTCGTCATCAGGGCTGTGTATTGTTTAATAATGAATTGCGATATAATGGGAGCAAAACAGCCATCGACACTGATTGTACATGGAGATCCTGTTTTCTACATACTAAAGTAAATACTGCGATGTCAAAGTGAGCATGGCCAGAAGGTGTTGGGAGAAAAATCACTTCTGAGTTTCCACTATTTTGTAAATCATTTTTGAAGGAAAGCATCATTTTTTAATGAATTTCTGTGTGGATTGTATGTTAAATGAAACAAATAATAAAGAAATATATCATATGTTATACCTGAAAAAAAAAAATAAAAAAATATTGCAATATATATTGTTTGAAAAGCATATTGCAGTATGCTGTGCAGTCCTAGTCATTGTATATGTTATTGTACAAATGCAAAGATGTCGTGCTTCTCCCAAGTCTGGCGTTATCACATGATTGTCATTCAATACTGATACAGGTACCCAAGTACAGCATGCCACACCAATTTGAATAAGAGTTTTACCTATTTTACATGTTCAAATCCCCAAAAGGATGTCAACAACCCAACATTTTTTAGAAAAACTTGCTATCCATTCACAGAACGTAAGTCATTGCTGAATCATTCTTTTCTTTTAGATTTGAGAGTATATTTGACAAGCACTGGCTGCGCATTATTTTCTTTTTGGTTGTTTACCGGTAATGCTGCATATAGCAATATTTGTGTTTTACTATACATTATCAAGTCTGGACCAGATAATACAGTGATTGATATGCAAAGAGCCATGCCGTCTGGGTACAATAATACACAAATCAACCAATCACTGAGTCTGACCACCCTATCCATTAAGTCGCATCTTTGGATATTCTAACTCTGAATCCTGTAAGAAGGTGGTTAGTGTTTCACCGGTGATACTAGGTGAATATTCACAGTGCTTCAGCCAGACAAAAGAAGTCATGCTCTATGCTCTAAAGGCTCTGTAAAAATATTGAAAAATGACATCATTTATTTTAGTTTTAAATGCTTTGGTCATGTATAAAATTAAATAAAAATCACAAAATGTTATTAAGTATGTCTTTTTCTTTGGTTAGCTCGGTCACATAAGACTTAAAATATTCCAATCTTCCTTCCACAGTATATGACTTGGTGTTATTACAATCTGTTGGTATACTTAGATGGACTCATTGTGGTGTAAAGGTCATCATCGTAAACATCTTAAATTAGCACCATTCAATATGAAACTACTGATCGATGGCAGATGACTCAGCAGAGATCAACATGGAATAAAGTACAGTTGAATCTAAACAACAGATATAAATGCTTATAAAACATACCCTGAATGTTGGACATTATGCATGCTTCGAAGGACACTTTAGGCAAAATGGTGGAATTCAACAAAATAATGCATGAAGAATATAATTTAAGAACTCTTTACATGTAATCATAACCCCTCAGGACTGCTGTAACAACATATGACTGTCTTAGGACTGCTGTAACAGACATATGACTGTCCTAGGACTTCTCTAACAGACATATGACTGTCCTAAGACTGTTGTAACAGACATATGACTGTCCTATGACTGCTGGGACAGACATATGACTGTCCTAGGACTGCTGGAACAGACATATGACTGTCCTGGGACTGCTGTAACAGACATATGACTGTCTTAGGACTGCTGTAACAGACATATGACTGTCCTAGGACTTCTCTAACAGACATATGACTGTCCTAAGACTGTTGTAACAGACATATGACTGTCCTATGACTGCTGGAACAGACATATGACTGTCCTAGGACTGCTGGAACAGACATATGACTGTCCTAGGACTGCTGTAACAGACATATGACTGTCCTAGGATTGCTGGAACAGACATATGACTGTCCTAGGGCTGCTGGAACAGACATATGACTGTCCTAGGGCTGCTGGAACAGACACATGACTGTCCTATGACTGCTGGAACAGACACATGACTGTCCTATGACAGCCGGAACAGACATATGACTGTCCTATGACAGCCGGAACAGACATATGACTGTCCTAGGACTGCTGGAACAGACATATGACTGTCCTAGGATTGCTGGAACAGACATATGACTGTCCTATGACAGCTGGAACAGACATATGACTGTCCTATGACAGCCGGAACAGACATATGACTGTCCTAGGATTGCTGGAACAGACATATGACTGTCCTATGACTGCTGGAACAGACATATGACTGTCCTATGACTGCTGGAACAGACATATGACTGTCCTAGGATTGCTGGAACAGACATATGACTGTCCTATGACTGCTGGAACAGACATATGACTGTCCTATGACTGCTGGAACAGACATATGACTGTCCTATGACTGCTGTAACAGACATATGACTGTCCTAGGACTAGGTAGACACAGTAGACACAATTTTATGGATAACAACTTCTTTAATACTGTTATCAATAAAATCGTGTCTTCCTTGTCATCCGTCAACGTCTAAGTAATGCATATCAAACATTATGTCCTAGGACTGCTGTTACATAGTCCTAGGGCTGCTGTAGCATAGACATATGACCGTTGTAAGAATTATGAGAATATGACTTGTTACAGACCCTATGACTTGTTACAGGACCTGTGACTGTTGTTACAGGAAATATGACTGTTGTAACATGGACCTGTGACTGTTGTTACAGGAAATATGACTGTTGTAACATGGACCTATGACTGTTGTTAAATGACCTGTGACTCTTGAAACATAGACTTCCAAGTACTGACTAGAGCTATGACTAGTCTATTTCAAAGTATGGGAGTTACAACAGTCTGAGTGGTAAGATCTTTTCATTAACGTTTTCCCTGGCCTCAGGACGTGGCCACCTTCAGTGACTTTTCCTTGGCTACTTCAAGTAGACAAGATTCTATTCTAACTGAAGTAGTCAAGAAATACTGCAGCCTGGCTGCATTTAATTATTTTCTTCTTGACATCAGTTTGTTGAAGGACAGGAATCCCAGCCTGCAGGCGATGGCATGAGCAGTGAATATCTAGCACAGGTTTCGGACATTGATCCCAAGACGCAGTTTGCTGATGAAGTCATCAGGGACGCTTGCAGCTCTCTCGCTCAGATCAGTGACTGAATCACAAACATCCACTCCCCCGTCCGACTGAAAGAATACATTGAGTCTTAGCGTTGTCTTTGTTTATCATATGCAACTGAAGATAAGACACCATTTTTAACACTTAATAGTCTTGTGTACACTACAATGCTCCATCACTTGTGAATACATATAGTCGCTGTGGAGTATAGTTGCTATTTTTAACCAGCCAATCAAGTTACACCATGGCTCTTGCTTGACACTGTGCATTAGACTTGTGGACGTCTTCTCTAAGCATTGTCTAGAGTTGGCACAAAGTTCATGCATGGAGTTGGGCATGGAGTTTGAGGTCTGTGAGTAATAAATGGCCTAATTTTATTAGCAGACTAATAATAGATACACGTCTGTGATATACTGCATAGTGGCTGTATGTATTCGAGAGGGATGGAGGAATGTAGTGGATACGCAACCAGGAAGTATTGACGATGGTAGTAAGACACCTGACAAGAATGTTGTTCAATGAAATACTAGTAACAGAACCATTTCTCAGAAAATAGTTAAGAATTTTACTTTAATATTTTTGGCATTTATGGAAGCATAAATGTAAAGCATACTGTATACACTGGGTATATCCCCATAGCTTAGTGTTCAGATTGGTTTTTACATTGAGAACTCAATAAATGCAAAAACATACTAAACTCTATTATAATAAATAAATATGCCAAAAATAAAAACTTTGTAGACTGCTTGCTTAATCATTAACACAAAAACCCTGTGGACAACAATATGACATGAGTGACATCGTTCAGCACAGTACCGTAACGAGCTCCATCATCTATCAGCCATTCAGGACATTGTTGTCCCAGCTGGTCCATCAGAGGCCATGGCCTTATTTCACTTTAGGTTTATGGAACCATAAATGCAAGCAAAACTGTTTGGCTGATTGATGTATTATATGTCTTAGCACAGATGCAGCTCAAAAGAATGAGCTGATCAAAACCAGAGCACATGTCCAATACCATTGATCATTACAATGCTGTTGGCTAATTCACTGCACTTATCTTGCTTTGGAAATACAAAAACAAATACTGAATTGATTCATAAAATCATAATGATACATGCATACAAATGTAATAATCTCTGTATAGTCCAACATTATTTTGAAGTCTTTGAATGGCATTTAGAAGTGATACACAAAAGAGAGAGAATTTATGGATGTTCCTCATAATGAAGAAGTTGACAAGTGTTCCTCATAATGAAGAAGTTGACAAGTGTTCCTCATAATAAAGAAGTTGACAAGTGTTCCTCATAATAAAGAAACTGACAAGTGTTCCTCATAATAAAGAAACTGACAAGTGTTCCTCATAATGAAGAAGATGACAAGTGTTCCTCATAATAAAGAAACTGACAAGTGTTCCTCAAAATTATAAGAGTCCTGTGAAGATTCCGGGTTAGAATATGTATTCAGCAACCCATGCTTGTCAAAAGAGGCGACTAGTGGGATCGGATGGTCAGGCTCGCTGACTTGGTTGATGCATATCATCCTATCCCAATTGCATAGATTGATGTCATGATGTCAATCACTGGATTGTTCAGTCAAGATTTGATTATTTACACACCACCGTCATATAGCTGGAATTTTGCTGAGAGCAGCGTTAAACAACAAACCAACAAACAATCATAATAAAGAAGTTGACAATTCTTCCTCACAATAAGGAAGTTGACATCCATAAATTCTCGATCTTACGTTAATTTCCTTTATAAATAATGTCAAGTGTTTTTAAGCATGAAGGTAATTAAACACAATTAACAATGTGATGAAGCTGGACGGTGATACAGAGATGAGGAGCTGGACAAATGCCCCGGAATGGAAACAACCTGACGGATGAGTGTACCATTACCTTCACTCCCAGGTCGTCGCCATGTATGGACTTGTAATCAGCTTCACAGAACAGAAGAGCTGCCACTTTCTTCAGCATGTCATCGATATCTGAGGGTTTCAACCAGGTCGGTATATACAATCGACATTTTCACAATTGCAGGGATGCTAATGACTCATGTTTGTATCATGCAAGTTATCATGCATATACCATCCAAAGAAAGTAGGGCAAAAAGAAATATAAATGTTATGATGGGTCGTCAGAAGAAAGATCAGCTTTTGAAAATGACTGCCAGAGATAGACAAGTTCAGATCCAAAACTTACTGCTCCAAACACTCGAGAAATGGCATGTGGACAATGCATTTCCTCTGCACATGTGGGTAGAGGGTCATTCTAGTTTTTGACACTTCAGTGAAAGGTCGTCAAATTGCTCTGTATTGATTTCAATATCCACAGTGAGCTCTGAACTCTTGCTTCAATGAAGTATTTGTGATCAGGTTGGGAATACATCGCAACAACATGATGAATGTCTAAAGACTATTTGGCATGCCTAAAACAAGGTAGAATTCAGCAAGAGGTAGTCAAAATGTTCAATGTGTCTCAGTCTGCGATTTGCAGACTTTGGAACAGGTTTCTGCAGTCACAAAATGTTAATGATTATGATAGACCCCTTACAGGGTGTCCTAGGTCAACAACAAGATCAATTATTAGGAAACCCTGCCTTAGCCAAGCCCAAACAAACAATAAAATTGCTGTTCACTTGCACCAGGCCACTAGAGTTCATGTTACTGACTAGATGATTAGAAATCATCTGCTTTTACGTAACCTGCATACTCGGCTACCACATGTTGTACCACTGTTCACAAATCAACACATTCAAGCCAGATGTTATGAGTGAAGAAACTTGGGGAGTCACTCATTGTCTCATATAATGTTTTCAGATGAACAGGATTCACTCAGGACTTTCTGGATATGAGTGGCATTTTGGGGTGAGTCAGTAATGAGTGAGTGAGTGAGTTGGGTTTAATGCCGTTTTTAAAAGTATTCCAGTTATATCACGGCGTGCCAGCTTAATGTGGGAGGAAAGCCTGAAGGGATGCAGTCTCAAACGTTTACTACTTCGGTGAAACCCATGAACATGGGTATGGTGCTGACAAACCTAGAAACATACCGGGATTCAAACCGGCAATCATAGGTTTCTGGCGTGCCCAAGAGATGCAACTCTGCACAGCGAATCGCACCTTAGACGACAAGGCCACCCATGCCCCCGAGTCTGTAATGAGGCATGGATCACGAGGACTGCTAGAATGCCACTTCATACTGTCCATGGAAGGGTCACTGGACACTACTACTGAGACAACACACTGGCGCCAATAGTTGTGCCGTACAACAGCTATGTAGTTCCCTACTTTCTCACCTACAACAGGTGTGTCGTTCCCTACTGGTCCCTCCGATCTTACCTGTGCTCTTCATCTTTGTTTCTATATCCTTTATGGCATCACCCATTTTGTTCTTACTCTCAGCGACACTCAATAATGCATCTATCAGCTGAAACATCTCTGTTTTATCATCTGCAGATAATGTTGCAATCTACAAAAAAAATAAAATAAAGAAACAGGACACACAACAAGCTATGGTAGTACATAGATATGTTACCATTTAAAATCACATGGCAATAATATCATATTGCTAATCATAAAACAATCTTCCAGTGCTTTAGTTCCCATTTACTTTCACACAACTGTTTGGGTGGCCTTTCGGGTTAAAAAATACGAAGTGGAAAGAATAGACAAAAGTATACATTAATGGTCAAATGTTACAAATAAAGAATGAATTTTACAAATAAAGGTCATTGTTCACTTACAAATGATGAATACAAAATACAAAACGATACCAATGAACAACTCGCAAACAAAAGACGTCATATGTAAAGAAAGAATGTCAGTGCACAAAAAGTACACTAAACTGCTAAAGGACATAGTTGACAATAAAGAATGCCAGATGGCACTGCAATTTGTAAAATATTCCGAGTATAATCGGCTTGTTCCGCCGTGCATATGATGAATGCACGAAGAAGTGCTCAATGTATTACGTCATTCCTCATTTTACAAATTGCAGCACCATCTGACGTTCCTTATTGTAATACGCTCCTTGCCATTTAATTTTTTTTCAAATGAATGCGCTTATTAGAACCATTGTGAGGTGGTGCGTGTGTGTATTGCAGGGAGTGCACTATTTAATTTTGGCTCTAAAAATCTTCTGTGAAATTACCAGACTGAGGAAGCTGTACTGTGTGTTTCTCCTATGACTCCATCATACATGGATGCCATGACGGCCATATTGCAACTGGATTCAAACCTCTTGAAATTCAGGGGTCATTAAAGGCGGTAACAAGTGTGTGAAGTTTCGGCAGCATTGTTGCTGTGGTTTCTGAAGGAATTATATGTTTCATAAACCAATGTTAAATACTGTAGGCAACCAGATACAATACTTACCAGCTCACTTTGCCCATAACTGTCTTTCATGTGCTTGGCACTTTCAAACTCGTCTCCGACATAGATGGCGCTGAAGAGACGGATGACCTGGTAGATGTCGTCCTGTTCCCCTCGCAGGTCATAAGATTCCCCATGCAGGGGATTAGCCTTCCCAAAGTCCAGCACCTTCAGGGACAGCTTTTGGTCAGTCTCCTGCACCATAACGTTTCCTCCTGTCACAACACAGCCAGCTAACTGTTAGCACCAGTGGTTTTACCTATACATCATAAGCTGTTAGCACCAGTGGTACCTGCAAGTGGTGCCTACATTTGACGGATTTGGTACAAGGAAACCCTTTGAGGATTCGAACATGGACGCAGTGTTATTTGGAGCCCACCATTCCTGCTTTGCATCTATATTTTATATATTTTTATTATATTAATATACCAATACAGTATCAGGGATGTGGCAGGTTTTCTGAAAAAGAGAGGAAAAGTCTAGGGGGGTCAGAAATCTTTAAAAACATTTAATTGTATTTGAAGCAATTTCGTGCAGTTTGGACAACATTCACAACAAGAAATGTAGTAAGTCAATGGCAAAAGTCAATGTCAAATAAACAAAGATGGTGGATGCAGTCAAATTTCGAAGCTGAGTCAGTACTTTAAATAAATGAGTATACTTGACATTTTGATACAACATACTGCAAATTTCCTCTCTCTTTGATCCCCTAAGACAGAACCCAAAACGTGCCTCTCCGCCAGGGAGCGCAATCGAACAGGGGGCACAATCCACCGGGTCGCTGCTCAAGAGTCACCTGCTGGAGAGTGATCCCAGAAATAATTATGGATTTGATATGGGAGTAAATAACTTTGACACTTTACAAAATATCTCTTGGTATTACAGCTATGCCAGAGAGTTTGGTTTAACCCCTGGGTAAAGGTATTTAAAAGGTACAGCGTGTCAGCTTGTTTTGGGAGAAAAGCTTAAAATCACACATGTTGTAGACATTTACCACTTTAGCAACACCTACAAGAGCCTGGAATTCAAACCCCGGATCCTTTCATGACTAAGGGACGCAACCCTGAATATCAATTTGCTATTGACTAAAGCATGTTATTCTGTTATTCTATTTGGAAAATTCTCGATTCTGATTGGTCAATCAGAGGTATCAATTCACAATAAACCCCCTCTGATTGAAAGAGAAGATTTGACGGTCGTATCAATATTTTCAGAATAGTACTTCTTTTAAAGTCATTGTCAGAATGCATATTCCAATAATTATATATAAAGGCTACAAAATGCAAAGTTGCAGTTATTACAATATTTAGAGGATGTAATGCATTTTGTGCAGATAAACACAATAGAAATCTACAAAGATAATGTACCGGTACTTCAAGTTTTTAGGATAATAGAGTGCATGCTTTTCTACATACGACTGAGACGCCATATCTTTCAGTTCCAAATTCAGTGTACGCAGTTAGATCTACAGGTAACCCAGCTCTACACTGGCAACACAGTATGTTTATCTCCTCGTTAATAGAAGAACTTTACTGTGTAATCAGGGACCCTCATTCAATAACATTCCACGTCCAGATGTCCCCACTGACTGTATGTCACATGATGCTCCTACCGTGCAGATCTCGATGTGTCCAGTTCTTGCCGTGGATGAGACTGACAGCAGACAGAAGTCCATGACAGATGTAGAGCGAGAAGGGACGGACTAGACTTGGCTCTTTCTCTCGTATCTTCTGCATATGACTGTCAATAACATCTCGAAGGGTTATAGCTGAAGGAACAGATCAACACTGTAAACATCGGTCATAACTGGAGTTGTGTATTGCAGAAACACTTAAAACTGCTTATGTGAAGGCTAAAGGTCATTGCTTGATTAAAAATCAAAATATGGGAGAAAACGTACTTTGCTTACCACATTCTTACTGTATATCAATTGTCATAATGATACATGCAGAAATGGCTGAGTAATTAAAATCAGAATCCTGTGAGCACTTTTTAGAGACATTGTAGATGGGATCATTCACAAAGCCTCATTAGCCTTGTAGTTTAAGAGCAGACGTAAAAAAAAGGATGGACAGACAGATGACAGACAATGCGTCACTGAGCTAATTATTCAATTACAGCAAGACTAAGAATATGCAAATGATGAGTATGTAACTTCAACCCTGTGACTGACACTGTATGAGGGAAAATTGAAAAGTTTGAGTCCTCTCATAGACAATGCATTTAGAATCAAAATTGTTTACATGCTGTCTCAATATAATCTACTTTAGTCCAGCTTTGTTATGGAAGTCTTCATTTTGTCCCGTAAAAAGACCTCAGCACCAGCAATCACTTCATCATCACTGGTAAAATCAAACAATATTCAAAGAATAACTTCCTCTATTAATTCAGTGTCAGAAATCTTGTATTTTGGCCATCATCAAAGTTTCATAAAAATTTCAGATTATAAACAGAAGTCCTCTCCACTGTCACATGGCCATAATCAGTTGTGATATTAATAGTATCTCCCTTCCTGAACCTCTCCACATGCACAGACTGGAAGTCTTCACATTTTGCCTGTGTCACTGTGTGTGCGACTGTCAACATCAAAACAAATTCTGAGTTGTCATAGGGGCAGTCGGGTAGCCATGTGGTTAAAGCGTTCGCTCGTCACGCCGAATACCCGGGTTCGATTCTCGACATGGGTACAATGTCAGAAGCCCATTTCTGGTGTCCCCCGCCGTGATATTGCTGGAATATTGCTAAAAGCGGCGTAAAACCATACTCACTCACTCACTGAGTTGTCATAGCACATAACTTGGTAGTTTTTACATTGTATCAGTTAAGATCTTCAATGTTTATAAGAAGTCTAGATGAAACTCCAGGAAATGGACTCCACACCTAGCAACATGCAATGTGCAAGGGGTGCGCAGGAGACACTCAACGGGGGCACAGATGGCAAAGTTGTCTGAGGCGCTGTAATTCGATGTGCAGAGTTGCATCCCTTAGGCACGCTAGAAACCAATGATCAGGGGTTTCGAATCCCTATTCACCCCGGCTATGTTGCAAGGTTTGTCAGCACCATACCTGTGCTCGTGGGTTTCACCAAAGTGGAAAACGTCCAAGATCTGCATCACATCGGGCTTTCCCCCCACATTAAGCCGACACACTGTGACATGACTGGAATACTGTTCAAAGTGGCATTAAACCCAACTCACTAATACACTCCATTATAACATTTCAGGTATTTTGCCCCTGCGTAAACCATACAACCAGGATGTATACCAGAAATCTAGTGTAAAAAAACAAAATGAAATTTTGGGTTGAAAATGTAAAACCTCGAGCAAGGCAAAACACAAACATAAAGCAATATCTATGTGGCCAACTGATGAGCTTCTGTCCTACCTCTATCCAGCTTTTCCATGTGGAAGAAGATCTCATTATCTTGCAGGTAGAAACAGTACAGAGCTGGACACAAGGGTTCTCCATCCATTGTTAGCTCCCCTAGATCCACCCATGCCCGAACCTCTTCAGTGCGGAAGTCGGAAATCATCACCTGCAGAAGATGGATGTTTTGAAACACTTGTAAAAATGTTTCAACCAGTTCGTTATATCCGCCAGTTCGTTAAAACAGAGCTCCATATAAGCTTTTGGTGTTGTGGGTATTTTACCCATGCATTTTAAAATCATTAGGTATCAGTAATTCTATCTGGGTATTCAAATTTCTGTTACCCACTAGTTTTTACACATGTGAGTATTTAAGTTAAATATTTAAAAACACTGTTCATCTGGTCCCTGCAAACTGGTGTCGTGTAGGTTCGAGAGCTTTATAGGACTCAAAAATACCATGATACTTCCACAAGAAAGTGTGATTGCAAATGATCATGATGTAACTGTCATCGTGGAGTTTGGCAAGGTTGACGGAATGCCCGTTTATAATTTCAAAATAAGTTGCTGATTTGCTAATCGAATACGCAGGGTTACTTCACAATATTTTGATGATACGCACAAGTTTGACTTTTGTAGTGTATCTGTAATGTTCGTTGCCTATTTGATACGCTTGGATTTTATTTTACTGCATATTTCTGCATTTCTGATGTGTATTTTTGCAGATACGCAGCTTATCTGGAGCTCTGTTAAAAGCATATTCGTTATGAACATAGTTTATTATATATCTGTTCTGCTGTCTCAGCATTTCTTTGTGTCTTTTTCATTTAATTTCTGTTGTGTATTTGTGAGACAGTATTGTCAAATGTTGGAGACCTTTGCTTCCATGTACATCCACATAGGCAGAACATATGACACTACTTATTGCTGGCTTTATTTCAACATTCAGAACGAAATAATACTGATGCTCAGTTTCCTGAACTTGCTCTGTACAAACGGAAGATGTTATCTTACTGTTTTCTGAGCATGCTCGGTGCCGGTCTTGTTGTCCTTGACAACCACTATATCTCCAGCAGTGGCTCCCTTACCAAGGATGTCCTTCAGCTCTTTGGTGAACTCATGACCTTCACGGTATTTACCAGTTGAGCTGAGTTTGGTCTGAAGTACAATGAATACTGAATCACATCCATTGCTCCCAGTGAATGGTGTCACACATCATCGTCAGGAATACCACAGATATCACAGGCAGGCCAACTCTTGATGTGTGGTCACTTGGTCTCAAAATTACCAGCCCGCATTAATGTTGGCACTCTCTGGGGGTCACCGCCTCAGCAGCCAGCCATTGTGGCCACCTGATCACCATAACAACCAGTAAACTCGTAAACAGAGACAAGTAACGGGATCGGGTGGTCAGGCTTGCTGACTTGGTTGATGCATGTCATCATATACCAATTGCGTGGATTGATGCTCAGGCTATTCATCACTCGATTGTCTGGTCCAGACTTGATTATTTACAGACCGCCGCCATATAGCTGGAATATTGCTGAGTGCGATGTTAAGCAACAAACAAACAAATCATGCTGTAAACAATGCTCATACCTTTGTCTGATCAAAGTCCACACCTTTCGGGGCCCTGTTGGTCTTGATGAAGTCTATCATTTGTAAGCACACTGTCAGCTGATTCTGGCGATCTTTGTCAGTCTTGGCTACATGTATAACATTGCTTCGTGACTTGTCCACATAGCTCAGAAGGGGAACATTTCTGTAAGGTAAAACAATCAGGACACTACTCCTGCATATTTTTCACAGAATCAGAAACATAAGTTGATATCTCATAACTGTTTTTCTCATTAATCCACACACTACAAACTCAATGTATATCAGCTTGACTTGTTTGATGTTTAATGCCACAGTCTGTCACATACAGAGGTCCAGATAATAGTCATAATTAATCGGGTTATTATGACAACAGTCAAAATTAATTGGGTTATGATGACAATAGGCCAAGTCACAGAGGTCAGGACCATGCTCTCTCTTAGTCGCCTCTTATGACACGTATTTGAATGAGTCAGTTGGGTTTAAGGCCGCTTTAAAAGTATTCCAGTGACATCACTGCGTGTCAGCTTAATGTGGGAAAACAACCTGAAGTGTAGCAGGTCTAAGATGTTTACCACTATTGTGAAACCCCAGAGCACGGCTATGGTGCTGACAAACCTAGAAACATTATTAGGCCAAACCATGGATTCAAACCCACAATAATAGGTTTGCAGCGCCTTAGACCACTGGACCCCAGACAAGTTCTTGAGGGCGTGGGACAATAATGAATAAAATGAACAGTTCACGGAGTAGCTGAGAAACATTATTCATATGTTATTTAGTTTCCATTCAAAGCAAATCCAAGTAGTTATACAATGAAATATTGAACTGAAAGAACATTGATAACCCGGCATTGTAACCATGGTAGACCTGGTCATAGCCATGATTTACACAAGTAGTCAGTAGAGGAATAAACACTTCAAGTGTTACATGGCTAAGAATATAGGTCCCCACAACCTAACCTTGTCATTAGAGGTGAGTAAATCAATCATATGGTCCGACTTGGTTGATTGCATGTATTCGTATCTCAGTTCGATGCTCTGGATGTCAATCACTAGATTGTCTAGTCCAGACTCGATTATTTACAGATGGACATTATATAGCCAGATAGCTGGAATATTTCTGAGTGTGTCATTAAACAACAAGCAAAGCACTTAAAGTTGACATCTTCTGAACAAAGGGAGATAACTGATGACAGATTATTACAACAAAAACTATAAACCTGAATCTGGATTATCTCCCTTTGACCATAAGCTTTTTTTTCAAAACCAACACAACCAAGATAGAAAAGATTCAAGGAATTATATTTTAACTCCACAAGTCATATTTTCATGAACATTGATGACAATTTAACAATAATATCCTACCGTGTGTCTTTGTAGACCACTTGCACCTGTCCAATTTCATCTTTAATAAGACGGGCTGAAACAGAGGTGTTGACAGTGAGCTGATATCAGGGTCACCATATAACTTGTGCACACTGATTACAAGACTTGTTCATGTATACAGCCATTATTTACATGATTAATGTCACCCTGTGCATTCTGAGTGAGCGAGTTGATTGAACAGTATTCAGATGCATATCAGAGTGTGTCAGCTTGATGTGGGAGGAAAGCCTGAAGTGTTGCAGGTCTTGGACGTTTACCACATTCAACAACTCTGCAGTGGGGAAATAATGATTTCTTGCATTTTTATCAATAACCATTTGGCTGGAAAAAAAATCACCAGTACGCAATAATAGTCAAATGTTACCCATAAAGTATTAAGTGTTACTAATTAAGGTCAAAATACAACCCTCAAAGAAAAGAACAATGTTTACAAAAACATATATAAATGTAAAATACTTGATAACTTGCTTGATCAACTTGTGGAAACAAACCGACAACACTTGAGGCGATACTTGGCAAGGAACACTGTCTAAATCTAGCGCCCAATTTCATGATTTTCAGTATATAAAAGTCTGAATCAAGATGGTAAAAAAATCATTTAAAATGCTGACATCTGATGTCCAGGCATCCTTTATTAAGACTTGACGGTCAAATGCTCAGGGATCGCCTGATGTAACCTTCTATGGAGGTGTCCAAAGGTCTTCAGGTCTCAGGTTGTTACACAGGGAGGTGCCATATGGGAGTAGAACATTTGTGGTAATGTGATTAGGGTTTCCTCCCACATCAAGCTGACAGGCAGTGATTTACTGCTATGCTGTTTGTTAAAAGTTGAGTTAAACCAAACTTACACACACACAACATGCCTTGCTATGACATCATCGCACTGTAACCTTGTCCTGTGACATCAGGTTGCCTCCCTTTTCGTGTTAATGTGATTGGGCTTTCCTCCCACATCAAGCTGATAGGCAGTGATTTACTGCGATGATGTTTGCTAAAGTTTGCTGAAATACTTTGTCATCACTGCACAGTGAGTAACCTTGTCGTGTGACATCAGGTTACCTCCCTTCTTTTACAGTGCAGGGGACCTATTGTACTACCTTGGGGCAACAACAGTCAACAGGCTAAGGTGAAACTAAATGCAATATTCAATGTTCTTCACACACTGAAATAAACGCTCTGCCACTTGGCAGAGTTGATGAAGCATCTGGAATATTTTTAGGGTTTATGAGTGAGTGAGTGAGTGAGTTTGGTTTTACGCCGCTTTTAGCAATATTCCAGCAATATCACGGCGGGGGACACAAGAAATGGGCTTCACACATTGTACCCATGTCGGGATTCGAACCCGGGTCTTTGGCGTGACGAGCGAACGCTTTAACCACTAGGCTACCCGACCGCCCCTTAGGGTTTATGAAGGTTTGTGTGAATATGTGTGCCTGTTTCAGTTACTTCTGTCATCTGCAAGCATCTTCCTGAGGCAAGGGAATTAACTGACTATATAAGTCCAGTTTCCACCCTTGCCAAACTAGGCTGGAATTATGGAGTTAGATTTTGGCTTGACTAACAAGTTTATGCATGGTCCAATCAAAATCGTGCAAAGAAATTGCAATCCAGTTCATAAACAGTCATGTAGATTTCGGTCAATTGCAGGATTTGCAAAGCATGTGCATCACCAACTTGGTGTCAACAGATATTTTCCAAATCTTCTCATGTTTTTAATCAAGGTGCTCACGTGATTTGATGCACTTCGCGATGAAAGATCCGTTTTATCACAATATAGATCTTGATTATCGATCAGATCATCTTGACTGGGCGGTGTGATACGAAGGGCGGAATCTGATCAGGAAAGGCATAGAAGGGACAAAACTCTGGTGGCGGTAGGATGGAGCCCAGGAATTCCAGCCTAGTTTGGCACTTTTAAAGTCAGTTAACTCTCTTGCCTCGGGAAGATGAGCTGCAACATGTAAAGATCACAAGGCATAGAAAACAGCTATAAATGTCTTCACACCTGAGAGGTGTACCAGCTGGAAGGTGTCACACCTGCAACTGTTTTGAGATGGTCTGTGATCACACTCACCTTCTCCAGACGCTAGTACTTCGACCATCGAGTCCAGGTTGAATTGAGTCTGAGGGGACAGCTTATCTATGGGGGATGGTCCTGTCTTGGCGTCAGCCTCATCTGAAGCAACAGCACTGAGACATGCAACATCCAAATGTGACAATCTGGGTGGGTGCGCATGCATGTATAACTGTGTGCTCTAAGGCATCAGAAAACCCCTGTGCAGAGTTGTTTCCCTTTGTTGTGCAGGATCCCATGACCATGTGTTCAAATCCCATATTAACTACGGTTATGGCACTTGGTTTGTCAGAATAATACTGAGTTAATGGTAGAAATCTAACACCTGCATCAAGTTAAGCTCTAGATCTCCATTAAATTGACACAATATGTTAAAATCGAAATTCTGTTCAGAGCAGCATTAAACACATCTCACTCTTCATTTATTTTCAAACCATGCCAAAGTAGATAACTTCTGTCATAGTCACTGCATCAGCTGAAACACACTACATGACACACTACCCGACACACTACTGACTAGATTCGGCATTTCTAGGTTCAATCAGTCAAGTATTACCACACTTTATTCCTATCCTGCATGTGATTTCAAAACTTTACACACTAATTTCAAACGAAACAAATGGTGCATCATGAGTCACGTATCTATGACGACATATGTGATGCGTTCATGAGCGTTGGTTCACACCACATACTGGTATGTTCATTTGTGCATCGAGCTAAATCTAATATCTGTTAAATATGAGTAATTCTTCATTTATTAACCAACATGTATGGTATTCGTGTTTCTTTTAGTGGTATACATTCATTCCAGTTGTACAAAGTTGACAGATTGTGCAAATCGCAGTAGCTAGCTTCCCACTCATCAAACACTATGGGTGACTTCTGGGGCCACTATAGCTAAAACACTACTGTGATACTAACCACAGCTAACTGTAATACAGTTTTGTTTGTTTGTTGTTTAATGCCACCCTCAGCAATATTTCAGCTATATGATGGTGGTCTGTAAATAATCGAGTCTGGACCAGACAATCCAGTGATCGATGCCATGAGCATCGAACCACGCAATTGTTATACGATGACATGCATCAACCAAGTCAGCGAGTCTGACCACCCGATCCTGTTAGTCACCTCTTTCCACAAGCATAGTCGCCTTTACGGCAAAAATGGGTTGTTGAAGACCTATTCTATCCCAGATCTTCACGGAGCTGGAATACAGGTATTGGTGCAGTTGTAAAACAATAGCAAGAAGACAGTCTTCCCCCAATGCAGACTTCCTGACAAAAAATGTATATATTAACAAAATAATGACAAAGCCTGACATTTCCTAGAGTGCCATGGAACATTGTCAAGCGCCTTCCCAGTGCGTGACAACTTTGTTACACACTCGGTAACATCGCTGCCACTAGTGTGGGCGTGGCCATTACAAGAATCTTGAAATATGCCCTCTAACCCCAAATGTAGTAACGTTTATACTTTTGTTTATGTCTTTGGGAATGCCATCATAGTTAACTTAAAAAATGTTTACGACTGACCATATTTCCCAGACCAATTTACCTTTTTGTTTGTTGAATCAGATTTGTTCTAGATTGCAGACAAACGAAAAATCAACAAACATTTCCTTTACATTCTTACTATACTATACCAGTTACATAATAGTTGTAATGAAACAGAAATTCAAACTGACAAACAAAGAAAATAATTTAGCAGGGGTAAGAGTATTCTGTGTCACGGCAGTCATCACTTGTTTGTAAACATAACGGTCAGTCGGTTGCAAGTTCAACTCCAAGCATGGCTGTAGCCACCTATCACAGTGGGGAGATTTGACTGGTGGCAGCAATAATATGGAGAGCTCCGTGAATGGGATATCGCTGTGAAGAGCTTGGGAACATAGTGAGTAAAGGGAGGTAACTCTGATAATAGTTTGATATTACCAAAGCTCCATATAATCTGCATATTTCCATTAAATATGGAGAATAAATCACTATTATTGAATTAATCTTGTGTTACAAATATGCAGGAAAAATGTAAAACACTAATTGTATGACAATACTGTGCATAATTAGCCTTCTCAGCTTATGAGCTGTAGGATCTCTACAGATATTTATTTACTGATTAAATGGACGCCTCACATACACTTGAACTCTACAGCAGTGAATAAAGCACAAAATGTCAAAAGCATTAAGCAGAATTATTTGTTGTTATGATCATGGGTTTAAAAATACTAAATAATCTGGACCCATGGACGTAAACTAATTCTGAATACCCAATGAAAATTATCAGTACCTGTTGCGCAGTGGAACTAAATATTTTTGAGGGTGGTTTAACTTGGTAAAACTTACTTACCTTTTATAAAAGAACAAGGAACTAAACATGCTAAATGTGATAACCTATTAATAAACTATGGAAGATCTATAAGGAACTAAACGTGATTACCTGTTAATGAAAGAACACTTCAAATGAAAGAAACTAGATATCTAAGACTATTGCTAATTCTAACTGTCTGCTTATGTGTTGGTTACCTCTGCGGGAGTCTAACACTAACTAACACTCTCTAACCAACTAAATGACTACCGCCTTATATTTGTTCACAACCCTCACATTTCACGTGCAGTCCCAGCCATAAGTTGGTGTGTTCATGCGATGCGATCTTTATTCATTGGGTGCGTTTTGGAGAACAGATTCTTTATTTAAAACTAACATATATGCAGAACATTTATGACTGCACATGAAGCATGATCTATAGGCTCCGGAAGCGTTTTGGAGCACACTTCTAATGAACAAACATGTCTTTAGAACACTACCCAATAAAAATTATCACTACCCAATGTGAATGATAACATGTGAATAAATAATCAATGGCTGAACAGTCATCTGGAGGCCTGTATTACAACAAGAGTGAGTGAGTTGGATTTTTACACCAGCATGATCAGGGCACTGGACACAAAGAACCACCTTCACACACTGCTGGTTTCAAACTGGTTCAACATATTTATCCCTTAATGATGTATCCAAATTTCATCCTTGTATCCATAGTGGGTTCCTCAATGACTTTTCCCCATTGAAATTGGCGGACGAGGCCAAACCTATACTGAAAATGCATGATCAACTTTCCAAGCATCTGGCAAGATGTGTTTTGTGCTCAAGTGCATCTCAAAACACATCAATGAGATTTGAACCCGATTATACGCCTCAATACAATGAACAACCAAATTTGATTTTTGTTGCCATTTTGCCAAATCTTACAATAATTTTAATATGATTTGAAAGTGTTTCAGTATATATTCCCTGCCCCACTTCATGGTGGGGGACAATCTACTACCACGCACAAGCTAGTGTTTTTATTCACTAGGCTACCCCACACCCTCAGTCAGAGGTAGGTTCAAGCTGATCCTTGACTACATACACATGACACAGTGCAATGGCACTCAGTGAGATCAATACACACAACCTAACCACAGAGGTGTGCAGCTGTGTCTCTACTGCTGCCCTGCATATACATCTGTACACCTTGTCTTTAATACACTGTTTTTATCTTGAAGTGGTTTAGCATTGTTTGATCTCAATTTACCTTCTGGTTGCGCAATCAATGGAATATCTTTAGGTCTGCTTCCGTTTTCCTTTGCCATGTTGTTGGGGGGGCTGCTATCTGTCACCACCGAGCACTGAAACATCCGCTGTTAGTCATTAGATAAGTGACTTAGTTCGGGGAGAGCGGCTGAGCCACTTATGTAACACAACTTTAACCCTTCAGGGTAACTGGCTTAAAGACACAACTCTCTCACCATATAGAGGTTAAGTATTCAAACCTGTTGGTCAAGGGTGTGTTTGGTATGATTACCATGGCTCATGAAGAGGAGAGATCTTAAAATATAAGAAAAGCCCATTGACTTGCTTATGTTTATGTTTTGAAAACAACACTTTAGACGTAGGTACCACCACTTACCAGTAATTGAGTGCATAAGTGGGTGGGTGGGTGTGTTTTCTTGTTGATCTGCATCGGTCATGTCTTGGGCCACTGTTTGCAATTTGATAGGAATAGGTATCAGGGCTAGGACGGGTAACTCGGGTACTCGGGTCGGGTGGGTACTGAGTAGGACCCAGGTACCCACAGGTCTCCCCAGACCCGTGGTTGGTCACGTGATGTATTGTTTGATCGTAAAAGATATCTGGAATTTCATGGCTATACTACAAGTCACTATGTTCGCATTTCTTTCGGACGATGCACACATTCCTTCTGACTTTCATACGTTTCATGTTGTTAAAGCTTCAGACGATGCACACATTCCTTCTGACTTTCATACGTTTTATGGTGTTAAAGCTTCAGTCCAAGTCAGCGTATGCTTGACCAGATGTTTCTATATGTGTATCTAATTGCATTTTGCTAGGGCCATGGTCAAACTAGTCCCAATCGGACATTTTGAACCCATCTCTTAGCCCTAGAGCGGGTACCCGGGTAGTAGATTTGGACTTGTTCCAGCCCTATTAGGTACATCAGGGTGGTTGTACAAGCTCTGGGCCTGGACCAGATAAGCCAGAGATGAGTGATGCATGCAATGATCTACTGCCAGGGACGATGACACGCAGTCAGGGTATACTGTATTTCCTTGAGACCTGTGTCCTTCTCATCCCTCTTGTCCTGTTCACATCTCTCTTGTCCTACTCATATCTCTCTTGTCCTATTCACATATATCCTGTCCTATTCACACCTCCCCTATCCTATTCACATCTCCTGTCCTATTCACACCTCTCTTATCCTATTCACACCTCTCCTGTCCTATTCACACATATCCTGTCCTATCGGTATTCACATCTCTCCTGTCCTATTCACATCTCTGTCCTATTCGCACCTCTCCTGTCCTATTCACACCTCTCTTGTCCTATTCACACCTCTCCTGTCCTATTCACATCTCCCCTGTCCTATTCACACCTCTCTTGTCCTATTCACACCTCTCCTGTCCTATTCACACCTCCCCGTCCTATTCAAACCTCTCTTGTCCTATTCACACCTCCCCGTCCTATTCACACCTCTCTTGTCCTATTCACATCTGTCCTATTCGCACCTCTCCTGTCCTATTCACACCTCCCCGTCCTATTCAAACCTCTCTTGTCCTATTCACACCTCCCCTATCCTATTCACAGCTCTCTTGTCCTATTCACACATCCGCTGTCCTATTCACATCTCCCCTGTCCTATTCACACCTCTCGTGTCCTATTCACATCTCTCCTGTCCTATTCACACATATTCTGTCCTGACGGTATTCACATCTCTCCTTTCCTATTCACACCTCTCCTGTCCTATTCACACCTCCCCTATCCTATTCACAGCTCTCTTGTCCTATTCACAGCTCTCTTGTCCTATTCACACATCCGCTGTCCTATTCACATCTCCCCTGTCCTATTCACACCTCTCGTGTCCTATTCACATCTCTCCTGTCCTATTCACACATATCCTGTCCTGACGGTATTCACATCTCTCCTTTCCTATTCACACCTCTCCTGTCCTATTCACACCTCCCCTATCCTATTCACACCTCTCTTGTCCTATTCACATCTCTGTCCTATTCGCACCTCTCCTGTCCTATTCACACCTCCCCTATCCTATTCACACCTCTCTTGTCCTATTCACACCTCCCCTATCCTATTCACACAACTCCTATCCTATTCACACATGTCCAATCATGTTCACCTCATATCCAGTCATGTTCACATCACATCCAGTCATGTTCACATCACATCCAGTCATGTTCACATTATATCCAGTCATGTTCACATCTTATCCAGTCATGTTCACATCATATCAAGTCATGTTCACCTCACATCCAGTCATGTTCACATCATATCCAGTCATATTCACATTATATCCAGTCATGTTCACGTCATATCCAGTCATGTTCACATCACATCCAATCATGTTCACATCATATCCAGTCATGTTCACGTCACATCCAGTCATGTTCACATTATATCCAGTCATGTTCACATCATATCAAGTCATGTTCACATCATATCCAGTCATGTTCACATCATATCCAGTCATGTTCACATCATATCCAGTAGAGTCTGGGTTGGAGATAATGATAATCATGACATAGTGAAATCATTCAGAAAATACACAACCATTGTTCATTACCTTGTAAACTGTAATAATTCCAAACAGGAAAAGCCAGGTCATGTTAGGATGATAAGGCTTTACTATATCAGTAACTACAGAAATTCCCATGTGAAGTACACAGTGACTACAGCGGTGGTACAACTGCTCTCACCAGGACACTGACCGTGAGCACAACTGATAGTACACAGCACAAGGTCAACATTTGATTTGATTTGTTTCTTGTTCAACGCCTCACTCAGCTATATTCCGGCTATATGACAGTGGTCTGTAAATAATCGAATCTGGACCAGACAATCCAGTAATTGACATCATGAGCATCGATGCACGCAATTGGTTGGTTGGTTGGTTGGTTTTTAACACTGCACTCAGCAATATTCCAGCTATATGGCGGCGGTCTATAAATAATCGAGTCTGGACCAGACAATCCAGTGATTAATATCATGAGCATTGATCCACGCAATTGGGATGGATGACATGCATCAACCAAGTCAGCGAGCCTTGACCACCCGATCCCGTTAGTAGCCTTTTACGACAAGCATAGTCACCTATTACGGCAAGCATGGGTTGCTGAAGACCTATTCTACCCCGGAATAAAAGGAGCATCTACATATTTTTTTACATTTGAAACAATTCAATCTCACATCGGCAAATGATTTCTTACAATATCCATAGACACAGACATAATATGTCTGGCAAATGTCGCATCTCTGACCAATCCTGCATTGCAAAACAAACTTGCAGATAATAAAATGTTTTCACACTCTGATCACATGACTCTGTTGGTGCTCATAGTCATAGTTAGGATAGGTCATTATACAGCTGCTCCCTATAATAACACTGAAATCTACTGAAAAGTATGGTACTTACTTAAATTAGGAATTTAACATGCCCTTTCCGACATATGCGTACTTCGCACACGGGCCCGCCAGGCCATTTGGTGTTTGGTCAAAAAGGGTATGCCCGAAAAGGTGAGGCAACCTAGGTGGGGCTTTTTAGGGTTGCTTACTTAATTTGGAGAACAAATTTAGAATTTTGAAATATGCCATGCAAAAGGTGGCGGGGGGAACTAAAAGGAGTTTGTGTGTTTTTATAGTATTTTAGGGTTTATTGGCAGCTTGTTTGTTGTACTTTTATTTTTAACTGCAGCCAAGTAGACCTGTTTTGATAGATATATGCCTAGTGCTTTAAAGGTTTGTAAGTCATTTAGGGGGTTTAGTACCGCTGCTAGTGTCATTTGATTGTTGCAATTTAGTGTGGATTGGAGTGTTGTTCTGTGTTGCTGGTAATATAGTATTACGTGTTAGGCGTTACTTTTAAGTTGCAGTGTGGGCATTTACCGCTTTGGTGTTTTTTAATTTGGTGTAGGTGGGAGTTTAACTTAGTGTGGCCTGTTTGTAGTTTAGTTATTACTCTGTCAATTTTTTTGTAGAAAATTATGTTAAGAGCTAGTAGTTCTTAAAACATTTAGGCTCATACTGGTAAATGCTATCACAACTGGGTTTTCATTAGTTAAGAAACTATTTTCCCAAGGTTATTTATTCGAAACATGAACAACAACCTACAACACTGTTCAAAGCAAAGAGCAGACAAGTCTGATAGGGAAGTCCAATCAGCCTTGTCAAGTGACATTATCTTATCTAACCACATGATGATTTGCAGCAGTGACATGACAGCCGTCATATAGCTGGAATACTGCTGAGTGCGGCGTTAAACAACAAACAACATCTGGGCAATGGTCCCCAAGCACTACAATGATTACAACTCCCCATTCATTGTCAACAGTACCCTTACTATATATTATTACAATTGTAAGCACTGCCACTTACAAATATATTGGGACTTGACTCTACCCCATTCTCACTCACTCGAGGCAATACACGAGTGAAGAGTCTATTTAAAGCCACGAATATGCAAAGATTACTTGCAACTTATGGGTGAAAAGGTTCGATTGAAAGATAAGCATGATAAGAAAGGTCAAAATGTCAGCAAAATATCATATGACATAATTTTGTAAGTAAGGTGGGTTGAAAAGTGGTTTATGGTCGCATTGACAATTATTGCACCTGTAAGGTGATATGCATATGTGTGTGTGTGTGTGTGCGTGTGTCTCTGCTTGTACTAGTCAAATTTTTTGTTGGTTTTAAAGTGCTAGCCCACTTAGATACCATACCACAATTTAAAACATGGATACCTTACTCAGACAGAGAATAACATTCCCAATTCATGTTATTATACATGTTGTAGTTATAACCAACATGTCTCTCTGATAACACAACCACTATTTCTAAAGAAGAAGAGGCTGTAATGCCTTGTTATCATTACTGCATTGAAAGCACAGTTTAAATATCTCAATCTGAATTAAGAAAATAATAACAATACTAATTTTTCGAACAGCCCTGATTTGTTCCCAGTTTGCCAGCCCCGGAATTCTAGATGCTTGACAAAATGCATGACAAGTGATTGCCAGTTTAGCAGACCTGTATATTTTAAGTGTCAAACGCCAAGGATGTTTTTATTCTATATTAGATCTATGGAGAACGTAAATACGTGACATAGGCCCTATGTTATTGAGGTGGCGTATGATATAAAGAGTTTCTTTGGACAATTGACAATTAGCCGAACATGAACCTAAATTTCTGTCATGTCTCTTCATCGACTAAACACATGAAATTATCTGTCTCGACACTCACTTGAACATCGGTCTTTCTTTGTTTACTTTTCGTTCCTCGCGCGACTTCTGACATAGAACACCTAATGACAGTAATATAACATCATATTTCTAAACATACATCACCATCCCTTATAGCTGCTGCGGTGAGATCTTGCTTGCTTCGTTGCGTAACAATTAAAGTGCGAAGCGCCTTTCAGCGTTAGGTTTACAAGAAATCACCATCAACCGCCATTTTGTCTATCACGTGACACCTCCTTCCGCAGCGCACATGTTAGCATAGGGTATATTAGCTTCTAAACATTACCAGCCTTGTTCGTTTTATGGGGTTTTCAAGAAAGTTGTAATACCCCATTAAAACAGCAAATTTAGTCAGTCGCTAAAGCAATGAAATATGATTCATAGCTTCTTATTAATATGCGATATCCCTAAATAAGATTATTTATTTTTGAGATAGCCCCCCTTTCAATGAAACGACTGTTTCCTCAGGAAAAGTATTCGCCCGGTTGAATCAGATGTACACAGCTTTGCAAATGCTTTCTTTGCATGTGCTACATGATTTCATAAGTAGATAACACACATGGGCTGATCCAGGATTTTTTTTAAAAGGGGTAGGGTCCACTTGAGCTATTTGCAAATTTGGGGGCCGAAAACCCTACCTTAAAAAATCATAAACACGACGAATAAATCATTATTTAATTTGGCTTAGAAACCAAATCAACATGTTATCGTGGCAGGCAATGTATTATGTGTCTTATGTCCAGTGTGTTTTAGGTGCAAGTATAATGTCCAGTATGCATGGAAAAGGGCTGCGCACCCATACCCCCACCCAGTGCTTGTGTACAGACTGACACAAACACTGTCAGACAAGACCACGCTTGTGTTTGTGAGCTGTGTACAGACTAACACAAACACCGTCAGACAAGACCACGGTGTGTGTTTGTGAGCTGTGTACAGACTAACACAAAGACGGTCAGACAAGATCACGCTTGTGTTTGTGAGCTGTGTACAGACTAACACAAACACCGTCAGACAAGACCACGGTGTGTGTTTGTGAGCTGTGTACAGACTAACACAAAGACGGTCAGACAAGATCACGCTGGTGTTTGTGAGCTGTGTACGAACTAACACAAACACCGTCAGACAATACCACGCTGGTGTTTGTGAGCTGTGTACAGACTAACACAAACACCGTCAGACAAGACCACGGTGTGTGTTTGTGAGCTGTGTACAGACTAACACAAACACTGTCAGACAAGACCACGGTGTGTGTTTGTTAGACAAACATTTAGTCTCTGAAATCTTATATTACACAATATCCTTCTTGACTCAAAAAAACCCCTACAAATTCCTTATGCTGATTTCAGATTTTTTGTGGAATAGAGCTAGCTTGAACTGGCTAGACTTGCTTTTGTATGCATTTCTAGATTACTTTTTTTCATAAAATAAATATATTCCACGGTCATGGTGCAGGACTAGGTGTTTGTGAGCTGTGTACAGACTAACACAAACACTGTCAGACAAGACCACGCTGGTGTTTGTGAGCTGTGTACAGACTAACACAAACACTGTCAGACAAGACCACGCTGGTGTGTGTGAAGCTTGTACGAAATAACACTAACACTGTCAGACAAGAACATTCACGTATTTGTTTGTGAAGCTGTATAGAAGACAATGGGGTGGGGTGTGTGAAAATATCTCAATAGAACGGAATCCAGTCGTGTCTTTTTTCATGTTTACTGTTACAAGGAATTTAGCATATCTTTTGTCTGCAAAAGAAACATTTTAATCACGCAGCGGCAACAAAAGAACAAGGTGCCAAGTGACAGATTGTACATGTGAGATGTACGTAATTAGTCTATAGGAAAGATGTATTACAGTATTGCACGGGCTTTTATAGTGTTTGGTCTAATGAGATAGCTCTTATAACAATGTGCAGTTCCGGTTCTTTATTAAACAAGTGACATTTAAACAGATAACGAACTACATATCTGATAGCAGCATTACTCGCGGGGGCGCAGCGACCTGATTGGAAACGAGCGCACACAGACTTCGCAACATGATAATATGGGCGGCCATTCGGTAAAAAAACCACAAAGTTAAAATTAAGAACAAAAGTACGCAATAATAGTCAAATGTTACGAATAAAGTATTAAATGTCCAAGATTATTGCACTTATATAGCGACGTGCATGCACGTGCGTGTGTGTGTGTGGCTGCTTGTACTAGTCCGGACTGATGCCGATTTATAGTGCTAGCTCACTGAGATACCATGCCGCAGTTTAACATGAATACCCCACTCAGACACAGTATACTGACTCCGAGCCGACCAGTCCTTGTTTTAGCCTTAAGGCCGAGCGGCCAGACAGGGTAACAACAAGTACCATCTTTTAACGTCTTTTGGTATGACGCGGTCGGGGATCGAACCCCGGACCTTCCGCTTTCCGGGCGGACGCTCTACCACTAGACCACGGAGGCGGTCTTGAAAAAAGGTCAAATGTATGCAATATAACAGTCAGATGTTACGAAAAGACGTCATACGATTGGTTGGTTGGTTTGTTGTTTAACGCCGCACTCAGCAATATTCCAGCTA